ATTCAACTGCTGTGCACATTGTACCAGTGCACTGGTGTATTTAACACAAACTTTTTTTTTGTAATCACTACCATACAGTAGAATACCATGTGTGTGTGTTGCGTTTTTTGCACTCTTTCATTCAGTATTCAGAGTATATTTTTGTTTGATGATGAACAAACTATTACAAACATTTGATTCAGATAAAACAAATGTGAAAGTGATTGTTTGTGCTGCCAAAGCTGAGGAGAGAAGATGAGTTGTTAATTTGTGCTCAGTCCATCTGAAATGCTCATTTATGTGAATCTCTTTTCATGTTGCTCTGATGTGCAGTGATGGAATGAGGGATCAATTAACACTGTTGGAACCCAAAGGGTCTTTGTTGACTTAATGAAACCACATGGGTCTCATGCAGCAAGGACACATTCAGCGGTTTATTCCTGCAGTATGGAGGCATGTTATAGTTTTTTTTCTGTTGTTCTTTTACATTAAAGATGTGGTCACCAGTTACTTCAAATACTAAAGTGTTTTGTGAACTCAAACACTTCATCCTCCCCTTCATAGGCATAGTGTTGAGTAGATAATGAGTGAATTTTCCTTTCTGTGTGAACTATTCCTTTACCCCAAACTAACGCTGAGCACTTTAGTTACACTGTGGTCTCAAAGCTTTTTGGTTTTCAGAGGATATGTATGGATTTGTGCTGCTGGCTGTGGTTACATGTTACTCTCTGTTTCAACGAGTCATGTCTTTAGATTAAAGAAGATTCAACAGTAGAAATAAGTGCACAGGTCGGGTCAACGTGGATGAATTTCATGTTTCCATTTTCAGACTTGTGGACCTCTGCTGTTTAGCCCTTTTGCATTCGGCTCAGCCCATTTCCAGCAGCAGAAAACAGTGGAGGGGCTCAGGGAGGCTCTGCTTAACGCCATCGCAGAGATCAACTCTCTCCAGCTGGAGGAGAAGGTCCAGCAGCTGGAGAGCAGTCGGAGTCAGCTCAAGGCTGAGCTCAAAGACCAAGATCAACTCATGAACAAAATGAAGAAAAAAATGAGCCATCTTATCAAGGCCCACAACTGTCTGGCGATGGTCGCTGTCAAAGACAAGGAGCTGCAGACGTGTGAGGCCTGAAACAAGAAAACGAGGCTATGAAAGAACGAGTCTCCCTGCTGGAGACTGAACAGAGCCAGCTGAGAGAGCTCCACAACAATGAGCTCATCAAGAAAAACAAGAAGAAAAACAAAAAGCCCAAACAAACGCTTACATCGACTGCCTTTTGCACACACTCATAGACAACAAGACGAGGAGGAGTGAGGCAGAGTGAACACCTTGAAACCCTGGAGGTCAGAAGCCTGAACCTGGAGCAGACTCCCATTTAACAACCCTGCAGCGGACATGTTCAGCAGAGGAAGCTGCCCCCTGGTGGAAGGATGAGGAGGACGGTGGAGGAGGAGAACAAGTGCGGCGACAATGAACTCTTTAATGAGAAACACCCAAATCCCCTAAAGAAGAGAGAATGGGCTGGAGGTCTCTCCTGACACTCTGGACTTTTCTCCTTCCTCTTTAACCTCCAACCCTTTCCCCTCTCCCCCTTCTTATCTCACCCACTCCCCACCATCCCTTCCCCCTGCTTACCCTTCATCCACCTGCTTACCCTTCATCCACCTGCTTACCCTTTATCCACCTGCTTACCCTTCATCCACCTCCTAGCCCCAACTCTCTCCTTCCTACCCCCCTTTTACCCTTCAACCCCCAACTCTAACCCCCACCCCTCCGTGTCTTATGTTACACAGTGTATATCTTTATCTATATATTGTAAGTCATGTAAATATTGTAAGCAATGTAAAGTATATAAACCATATATCATATCATTCAATAAATGTAATTATGCATCATACCTTCCTGTGTGTCTCTCTGAATATGGTTACAGGATTCATCAATTAGTTCTGTATTATAGTATCACAGTGTCCTAAGACTGCTGTCCTACACGATTACATCAGAACAATGATCATTAGCTACGTATTTGTCTTTTCTTTATATTTTACTGCCAGTGCCTGTGAAGAGAAGCGATGAAGGAGAAGAAGACAGAAGAAATGATGGTGGGAGTGACTAATGTGTTCAAAGGGGCAAAGCACTGCACCTCTGAAAGCAAAATCAACATAGACAATAAAGGACAGAATATATAGACTTACATTGTGTGTTAAATGAAATTTACGAGAAACCATTGATAAGTGAGAGTTTTATTTATATAGCAGGTGAATACAAAGCCGGAGTTTCAGACACAGGCCACTTGTATTGTGCATGTACTTCCTCTCCATAACAATTGGTTGAGTTCACCACATTATGCAACAGTATTGTTATGTTTGTGGTCATGAGACAGCAGAAAGTAAGTACAACATTTCTGACAACAGACATCCACATTTTAACTTCAACAACTCTATACATGTCTGGTGTGAAGACAATTACATTACATGTGAACAGTGTCTTTATTTAAAAAACACACACACACACACACACACACACACACACACACACACACACACACACACACACACACAGAGGAAGTCAATATCATCATAACTCTCTGACAGATATGCTGTGTTGATTATGGGTTGGCTCTGGCAGTCAGACTTGAACCTTGCTCCCTGTCAGTGTCACGGCCACAGGTGGAGTCGTGTTGCTCACCTGCTGATCCAGGAAATGAGGGTTTGATCCAGTCCACACAGCAGCCACTACCACACAGTAAGTTTGTTTAACTGAAGATACTGAAGGATTCTTTTTCATATGAATACAAAGGTTTGATCATTCAATTAGAGTTATATGTTTTGACATCGGCACTCTCAAAGGATGAAAAGACTGGAAAAGTGTAGTATGTGCAGACGGTACGTACCACCCGAACTGTGGTGAGGAAGTAACAGTTAATTCAGTTTGATAAAAAAAAGGGATACAAGTGAATAACATAGCTTTTCTATGTTTTTGATTCATTTTGTATGAATGAGAGACTGAATGATAATTATAAAAAACATTATATTTGCTAAATTGACTTTGTTGGTATACAGATAAGAAAAACTTTTAGATTTCAATAAACCCTTTCAATGTTTAGAATATTTCTGCGTTACAAAATCCTAAATTTACCAGTGTTTTTTATTGGTGAAGCACAATTTTTTTTGAAACATGATATTTAATTAAAGATATTATTAAAAATAAATAAAGATTTCAGTGACTTTACATCAATCTGTGCAATAAGATCTTTGCAACTCCAGCTGATTAAAACAAAATAAAACTTTACCATTTACTTGCCAAGAATAATCTCTCTGTTGCTCATGTCCTGGAATGAATGAAACCACACTGAAATGCTGGGGATGTATTTAAACGCACTTCAGCCAAGTCGACACAGTCATACTTAGCTAAGAGTCGACTCGTTTCACAACAAAACATTCCATTTGAAAATGTGTTCGGCCAAAACTGTTGAGAAAAACCTCAAACTAAAGGTTTTCATTTAATTATTTTGATCAGTATATGAAAGAGGAAGAGGGGACATGACAGCCAACATCTATACAGCTACTCATTATCCATCTCCTGCTTTTCATTCAAATGAGATTTTTCTTTTTCTCAGTATCCTTTTCCTGACATTTTTGTTGCATAACCTCAGCTGTTTCTCTTTCAGGAGAACACTAGCATGACCATCTCCTGGAAATCATGGCCCACGCTCCTTCACATCTGCTTATTCCTGTGCACAACTGGAGGTCAGTATTTATTCTTCAAATAACCTGTGAAGTTAGAAAACAGCCTGCTTGATAAGGTCAACAGTGAAGGATATAATAATATTTGTCCAGTAATTATTAATTAGTTGTCCAAACATTTCCTCACCAGTTTTCAATTTACTGTTCATGTCAATTAAATCTTTGTATTTTATACTACATTTTTAAACTGAATTTAATGATCACAGTTTTGAAAGCCCTGTGGGATGAATGGTGTCAGGATTAATTTAGGTTAGGAAATGATGTGAAAGGAAAGGTAATCCAAGAATAAAAGCTAATCATTACTCCGTAATGCTGTCCTGAAAGAAAAAAAACCAGAACCAAACCAAACTGTACAATCAGTTGTTCTCATCTAAATGTAAGCAGTCCTTTCATTCCAGACCGTTTTCATTCTGCTCGCTCTCACTTAAAAGCAACAATAGTGAGAAAATCACACAAAAATTCTACCTCAGATTTCAACAGTCGACCTGTGAGGGATAGGTGTTGTGTTTGAGTTTCAGTCTTGTCAAAAACCAACAAAACAAAACCAATGCCCTTTGTGATATTTACGTACCTTGAGCAAAGTCAAACATGTCTCAAGTTGTGTTTCAACAACATGCAGGTCATACCCAGTGCCCTGAATCAAGAGCTTTAGTCTCTGATTGCATTCCAGTGTATGATTTACTGGTGTTATTGCTTCACCTCAGCAGGGACACCAACACCTGAATGTGCTGCCAATTAAAATGTCGGGTTTTTTTGGCAATTAAATTCAATACTGTATGTATTGTGTACATTTAATATAGAAAATGTCAGAATGTCAAATTGTCCTCAAAAATGAGCCTGACGAGAGAACAAAGATAAATATCGAAAAAGAACAGATTCAATATATGAATCATCATTCCCTCCCCCCCCAGCAGACATTTGGTTTGTAACAGTGTCACAGGCGTATGTAATATAATGAATGACGGCTGAGTTCCATTTCGCGGCTTCAGTTTGAGCGTCCTCCTGCTTTTTCTCACCCTCACTGATGCTCCCTAGGAGACATGAACATTTCTTGTTACAGTAATGTCTGTGCTACTGCATGTCTGTAGGAGCCATGCATGTAGTTGCTTTGAATACTTTGAATTGTTATATGGTCTGGTACTGTTACAGTACTTGGTAACGTTGGGTCACGTGCATACAGGTGGTGATAATTCCAGTTAACATAAGCACAAGCTCATCTGACATGTTTATTTTTTTTAAACGTTCATTACTAACAATAATTAAAGAAGGCAGAAATAAAAATGGGGTATAGTTAAATCCATTTTTCTATATATATGTGTTGTGAGATTAGCCTACATGTAATACTCACCAGTAAACATTATATTCATTATCACATTGAAATTTTTCATAAACAGAAAATCTAGGCCAGAACCAATAATCAATCATAATCATACAAAACAAAACAGCTGAAAACAGTTCAATGACCAAGTCCCAACTGTTTCACATCAGTAACAGGAAAACAAAGATGCACTAAACAGGAAGTAAAGAGGTCTGTGCTGTCATAACAAGAACTAAGGAAGGAGCCCATGTTTCTGCTGTGAGAAACGTCATGGCAGTCACGCTTTACATTTCATCTTTGTATTTTCAGTGGAGTCCCAAAAGTTCCAGCTGCAGCCTCTGAACCGAGCAGTGCTGCAGGGCTCGGATGTGCAATTCAGTTCCACCGTGGAGGGAAACTGGCAGGTGATGACCTGGCACGTCCGAGGGTTTCTGGTCCTCACTGTCCCTGCAGACAACAACGTGACCTCATCCTCACCACAGTTCTCTGCCAGATTCTGCTCTGCAGGTGACCCACGCTGTGTGGAGTTCACCATCCACAACGTCACCCGCAAGGACGCTGGGCCGGTCATGTGCACCGTGCAGGGGGAGTATGGATCCAAGACTGCACAGCTTAGTGTTCAAGGTGAGTGTCACAGTCATATATCAGGCTGCACGTATATGTGTAGTATCTGCAGGGGCGGATACAAAGGCGGGGTCAGAGGGGCACTGAATGATTGGCCCTTCAATTGTCCTTGTACCGTCAGTGGTCTTCTTAAAAAAAAAAAAAAAAAAAAAATCATATATATTTTAAACAATAAATATGACAATTTGTAAATCATTTATATTTTCAAAGCTTTTTTCAAGAACACAATGTGCTTGAACAAGGACCAACAACAACAATAATAAAAACTAATTTATATAGCACCTTTATAAAGAGCATTTACAACATGGTTTGACAGATAAAGCAGATACAGGATTGATTGATTAAAAACTATTCATAAATAAAAGCAGTAAGAGGACAGCATCACGTAAAAGCAATATTTAGAACAACCAAAGAAACGATTAGGACCAATACAAAGAAGAATAAAAAGCAGATAAATACAAATAAAAAGAATAAAAGCAATGATAAAAATTATCATCAAAATAAAGATAAAATCACATAAAGGTAAGTCTGGACAAAAGCTATTCAAACAAAAGTAATTGAAACTGCATTTGGCCCCTCTGTGTAAATTGGAGCCCCTGATATAGAGAAATCCTGGATTCACCACTTAGTCTGTCCTTCACTGTGTATGCAAACAGCAAGTCCCATTCAAAAGCCACTGATTTTGAGTTGTCTGCACTCTGCCCTCACTTAGAAAAAAAATCTGACAGTTTAGCTGTAAGGAAAGTGTAGCTACTGGGATGTACTGTGGGGGGCAGCAGTGTGCTCCCTCTTGGAAGAACAGAATCACATTTGAAGAGATATAATATCCAACATTCAGCCTGAGCTTTCTGGTGCTGTGGACATTGTTGTTGTAGGAAAATCAAAGTGTTCGTGCTGTACTTGGCTCAGCGGGGAAGGAAGAGTGATTAAACAAAAAACACCAAAGAAGCTTCAACGATGAAATACAATTTCACAAGGAAAGAAATACACATCACACTCAGCTGATAATTAGTATATGCACACACTCACATAATAAGACACACACACACCCACACACAATTGCTTGGCTTTGCTAGATGGCCTGTGTAGGAGTCATTATCTCCCCGTTACAGCCATTGGAGAGCGTTGTCAGAGAAACTGGGGGCTTCCCTGGGTTGGTGGGAAAAACCTATAACATAACAGCTTTTTGTTCAGGGAGACATGGAGCAACTATAATTGCTTTTGTAATGGGGGTTGCCGATTTAGTTAGATGATGTTAACGGCCAGTATCAGAGAACTGGATTTCAGACACATATACAGATGAACAAAATAGAACAAATAACATAAGGAAACAAATTTTGTGGATTTGTGGATTATTTGTAGAAATTAAACCAAAGAAAGCAGAAGCAGGTCCACTACTTCTAATTCCCAGTATGCATGTGTTTCATCTTGGACTGAAATCTTTCATCAGGAAAAAAATCCAAAGAATCTTTAAACAAGAAAAAGGATGCATTTATATTGTAACAGAGATAAGATGTATGCATAATGATATAAAATGTAAATGTGTTGTAGATCGTGTCATTCATATTTGACCGCAGTGATTATTCCTTTGCATGAATGACCCTCAAAAAGAAAATGGTGACTAGTTCGATTACAAAATCAATATCCATGTAACTTAACGACATAAATTCAATGCAAAGGGTCAGATTTAATTAAGTGTTTTCTATCTGTGAATAAATTGTGTGCGTAATGTATATATTCAAGTTAAACTGTATTTAATTAAATCACTCTCAAGTTTGAATTAATCACATTACCCCAATATGATAGAAAATAATTAATTAACTGAACATATATTGTAAAGTTACGTGGAAATTTAAAATGTAATTAAAATACATTAAGTCATAATTATTTTTTAGATTTGACCTCATATTCAGAAATGGAGAAATGTGGCTTGAGAGAAAATCTCTGACTCCAATGTTTTGATCACTCAGCCTAAAACAAAACTGAGAAACATTTTATTTCTCCAGAGGGAACATTTCCCCACATCTGCTCTACTCAGCCTTTCCATTGAGCAGTAGCCTCAGCCTCAACCTCTGGATTAGCCAGAGGGGGGGAAGTGAGCACTAATAGCAATAAATAATTGTGTCTCTAAGGCAGTTTTATCAACCAGCCTTGAACCAGTGCACTTCCACAACAGTATAAAGAAAATCCAGCAAAACACCACACCTGCCTGCTTCCCAGCGTGGCAGTTATCTGAAGGTGATCTCACTGTGAAACATCTGGGCCCTGCTCCCCCGGCTGTGAACGAATATTGATCGTGTAGGTGCTGGAGCTCTATCTCATGCTTCTGATTAGGACCTCCATGATTACAGACATATTCTCCTTGCATGGAGCTAATGCTAATAAATCCAGCTAATAGACCTGCCAGCGGAGCACACTGATTGCTTTTCTGCAAGACCGGTGTTAATGAGGGACACTGACAGTTCAATAGCAAACAGAGTTTACCAGCAAACTTCAGACAGGCTCATGTCATATTAAAGTCTCATGTTAACAACTGTAAGATTGTTCCATTGGTTCAGCTGATGTCAAGGTGATCCCTTCACTCTAACATTACAACAAATGGCATTAATTATCCACCATGAAAAATGATCAAACATTGTTTCATTTCTCTTATTGTTTAACCTATAGATAATCCATAACCATGCAGCAGCAGCCATGTGTTAATCTGCTGCACAGTTATGCTTAATATGTTTTTCCATGTGTAGTATTGTGTTAGTTCAGGCAGGGCACAGAGGTCACACTTATATAAACTGACTGTCACCAGCTGCTTTATTCATGCTTCACCATCACTGCCTCATCCATCAACGCAGGTGTACACAGTGACCTGTATAACCTGATTTCTCACTGGATATACTGAGCTCAGACCTTCATGCCAACACACGTCATGTGCCACCACAGCTCCTTCCACCCAATTTTTGATTTATGCACTGTTTATGTGAGTTTAAAGGGGGATTCATTCTTTTAGAAGAACCCGCTGCTCTAATATTTCTCACCAGGGTAATATTTCATGAATATACAATGTTTATTTGAATATCAACAAACAGCATGTCCAGATCAGTTTTAACTCTCTGCAAAAGGTGCATGGCTAGCTAGCATGGAAGTATGCAGACTGGATGTTCACAATTTATACTCAACATGTAGCATGACAATATAGGCTACATAGTTTGATTAGCCTCTGTTGTTCATCCTATCACAATCAATCACATCATACCCAACAGTCACACTAGCTACTGTGACAGCCACAAACAGAAAAGGAAAACCTGGCTCAACTTTGTGGCCACAACATAAAATAACTATGGGAGTCTGGAGGTCAGGCCAAAAATAACAAAAGATGAGGAAGTCTGGGCCAGCCCACAGGGACCGTAGGACCCAGAGCTTCCTCTCCTAAACTAATACACCCGAACGTCAGCCTAAACTAGAAATAAATCCCGAAAACTGGAATACCAGACCTCCAGCCTCAAACAGAAAGAAACCCAAAGAACCACAACCACATTCTCTAACATCATCATAATCCTAATCAAGCTGCTGCTGCAGATAGAGAGAGCAAACCTCTTCTGCACCCTCGCTTAAATACCGGGCAGAGCCACAATCAGCTGATCCGTCACACCTGTGAGGAGAGGAGAGCAGAGGAGGGGGGAGGGAAGAGCGTGGGAGTGTGTAACACTACATTACCAGTAGCCATAAAACATAAAACTAGTCTGAACACATAAATATTAAAACATCATAAAGTCAGAACATTAATACATTAACACAACAAAACTATAACAGTTATATTTAAAAACTCAAAACGTTTTTAGTTTGTTTAATCCGGATGACTACAATTAACATGGTGGCCTCCGTAAAGAGGGTCCCCTCGATGTAAATATAAAGTATTTAAATATAAAGGGCCTTTTCAAGGGTAAAGAAAACTACAATTCATACAATTTAGATGAAATGAACTAGTGAAAACATCATGAGGATTATTCTACATTAAATTTCTGCCAATAGATCCCTTTCACCTAAATCTTACACACTGGACCTTTAACTAAGACATTTTAATAGTCCCATGTGCCTTTGCGTGTGGGTGGATGTGGGTACTTTGAGAGGAAATCAAGACTAGAAAAGTCATATATAATAACCATTCACACTCAGAGTGACCTTCTTACTGATCGGTACATAATGGCTTCATCCATTATAATAATAATAATACTTCATATTTATATAACGCTTTTCAAAGCTCTCAAAGTCGCTGTACATGGTGAAGGATAAAAATAAGGAAACAATAAAATCTTCAATACAAATGACGACAGTGTGGTATACTAAGAAAATAAAAATAAAGAACAAAATAAAAACATGGGCTGGGGGGATTTAGTTAGGGAAGGCAAGTCTGAATAGGTGGGTTTTGAGGACCTTTTTGAATGATAGCAGTGTGGGGGTATTTGATAATGCCCTGTCACCCCAGGTTTGGTGCTTGGTCCTAAGGACCTGAAGGAGGTTGGCATCAGCAGATCTGAGGTGTCGGGTGGGGGTGTGCTGGTGGCAAGAAAAGGGAAAACACCCACAAGGGATTAACTAATGTACGAACAAGATGAAGTACAACAAGGGATATGATATTCAGCTTGTATAAAAGATGCCATGAAATTGTTAATTTACAACAGATAACATAGACAGTGAAAACAAAGATTAAATAACAACACACAGATGCCCAGGCTGGTCTGTCACACAGCTCTCAGCACCAGTCCTATTGAGCAGGAACCCAACGGGTGCACTACCTCAGACCACTGGGTCAGATGCCTAAAAACTCACTGATCCTCTGACCTAACCTCTCCATTGTCCTGTTCTCTGTCTCTCAGAGAGTGGCACAGTCAACATCCTGGGAGGGAACATGACCGTGGACCAGGACCAGCAGGTGGAGTTCCAGTGTGTAACAACTGCTTGGTTCCCCATACCCACAATAAGCTGGACCCAAAACAGTCACGCCATAAACAGCAGCCTGTACAACACCAGCAGCGTGAAGGATGGGGACTACTTCAACTCCACCAGCGTACTCAAGTTCCAGGCAGTCAGAAACACCATGGTGGAGTGTCAGGCAACTGTGCCAGCGCTAACAAACCCACAGTCCAGCTCTGTCTCCTTGGTGGTTGGTAAGAAAGTGGACTTGTCAGCCTCCTCCGACACATTCTGCCTCCGTGCTACATTCAAAGGTTGAAAGAATGAGCTAAATGTATTCTAATTTCATTCTATGGTTCCTGTGTTGGTAATAGCAAAAACAGCACAAATTCAATATAGTACATCACATTGCAATGGAAATCCAGTTTACCACTACACTCCCACTATACAATATCTTAAATCTACATCAAAATCCACAGTTGTGATTATAAAGACTTCCTTAGGGAATGCTGCTAAATCAATGTTATCGACAGGCTAAAGGCAGCAACACACCAAAAGATTGAAATAAATTCATATCAACAGTTAGATGTGTGTATGACACTGGAAACCATTATATAGTCCAAGGCCTAACTTGTAACCATCGTGCGGATATTGCCAGTTCATACACTTTTTACTACGACTATACGATACTTTATTTTTAGAAGTAATTGATTAATTGATTATTGTTGTGTTATGGTTGTCATCTCACAGCAAAAAGGTTCCCAGTTCATATCCTAGTTTGGCTGGGGTCTTACTTCATGTTCACGCCATGTCTTTGTGGGGCTACTCCCATCACTCTGGTTTCTTCACACAGTCCAAAGACACAGCATAGGTGTAAATGGTTGTGTCTTTGTATGTTGCCCATATTGTGTGGGCTTGTCCAGGCCTCTTGCCCAATGTCGGCAGGGACCTATGGCTGGGATCCTATAGATAATGGATGGATGGACCGTCTCACATTGGCCACAACAAACACCCATCAGGTGGTGAGACTCACCTGTCAAAGAAGTGATGGACTGAGAGACTTGCCAATGTAGAGCACAGTTATATAGTTAGCATAGTTATTTTAGTATCATTAACAAACATTACTGTCCTAATATTAAAAGAAGACGTGAAAGAAGTTAACATTACTGCTTTTTTCTCAAGGCTTTGTCGTGATGATGTGATGTGTTTGATACCTCTCCTGAATGTAACGATGATGTGCTCACAGGTAGCAGCGACCATATCTGTCAGGAGCTCCAGTTGATAACTGTGAAAATTCTCAGAGACCCAGGTCATGGTATCTTTAGTGTACGTAGTATGCAGGGAGCTGCTTCAAAATACACAAGCAAGTCCAGTTGCCTAAATACACTTGAACAATTTCTGGAGCTTGGGTTAATATTCCAGACAGGAAGTGCAGTAAGTGCTGAGACATTATTGTGTATGGTAATTGAAGGGGTTATGGTGGGTCAGCTCCTGTATTAACCCCATCACTCAGTTGTGTGACTGAAATCTCAGAATGGTTCAGTATGTGGAAATCTACATGCATCACAGACTTTTTTTCATATTCTGTGTATTAATGTGGACATTTAGACTCCTCTCCTTGTTTTGTTTGTGTCTAGTATTTTATTTTGACAATTAACATTTTTATTTTTTTGAGTGTTCTGTTCTGAATTCCGGTCTTTCCTCTTGCTGCAGTTCCCAAACCTCCTGACTGGACTGTGCTGATAGCTGTGGTCGTGTCTTTTGGAGGTTTGGCTCTGCTGGTTTTAGTCATCATCGGAATCATCTTCTGCTGCAAACGCAGAAAAGAAAAACGTGAGGCCGTCAATTCTAACTCACACCATGTTCAAAATCAGAAATGTCGTGGTACTAATTTGTTTGCAGGTAGCAAGTGCTGGAAGGTATTAATGAGAATGGGGTCGTTACTGATTCTTTCTCAAACACGATACTGTAAATCTTTGCAAAGTGAAACAGTGGGAAGACGGATTAAGAGCAGACTGAGTCATAGTTGTCTATAATCATTTGTGTATGTCTTGTTTACATATATATTTATAGATTAATTTGGTATCTTATGGTCCCCTTTCAGAATCCAACTATCAAGATGAAATGAGGTGAGAACAAGAGAACATTTTGTAAATACTCCACCTCTACAGCTCTGGTGTGTTTCTACAAACAGTCGAATACTGTGTTGTCACTCGTGTGTGTGTCGCAGGAGGGTGAGGACACAGAGCCAGATCAGTACTGTCAGTGCAGCCGGACTGAGACGGGCTCAAGTGAATGCCGGATTTGTGCCGGAGGGTCAAACAAGTAAGAGCGATGGGTGAAATTACACTAACACAAGTTCTCGATGAAAATCTGTACATTTGAATTTGAATTTAAAAGTTGAAATGGGCACTCTCACATTTCGCTGCTGTCACCAAGCCAAGTCCAAAGTCTCGTCTCTGTCCACAGGTATCGCTCCCAGTGAACTCACTGACAGTGACTTTTGCCAGGCAAATGGCCCCAATGTCTTCGAGGTAGGGTTGTGGGGTGGTTCTGTAATACACAATGACAATGCACAATACAAAGTAGAAAATTATTGCATGCAGCGGTGTACAAAGACCATTTAAGCTATTATGCGATAGAGACACAGCATCATTTGGAGGAAACAGAGCAAAGATCTGTCACAAATATCTTCTTCTGTTCCCTTTTGGCTCAGGGCCTGTAGACGATTAGCTACTCATGGTAGAACAATTTTGACTTACGATATAACAGTAGTGATTAAGTGTTTACAGCCGTGTTAGAAGCTCTGTGAAGCTGTAATTAAAACAAAGCAGTGCTTTGATTTAAATGCTAAATTCAACATGCTAACATGTCGACAATGATAGTGCTAACATGCTTAGATACAGTAGTGGTAAAGTGTTTTGTTCACCAGCTTAGTTATATGTATATTATATCAGTATTCTAATGTTTCCTGCAAATTTCATGTTATCCAATAGATCACTTTAATCACACCAGCTTCATGGTGCCATTAGAGAAAAAATATCCTGTGATCATCACAGTCACTAAAGTTCTACCTCTGACCACCTTAAATGTCTGTATGTTTATGGCAGTCCATCAAATTGTGGTCACAACAGTGGTCTCGACTAGTAAACTAACAAAAGACATAAATGTGGACAACATGATGGCTCCCCAAAAGTGCAGCCAAATTGTCTTGATCGTCCCCTGGTGGCTAGCTACAAAATAGGTTGTAAAAACCCACCTCCCCCAGCGAGGAGGACATTAAGGGCCAAACTAAGTATAAGTCAAATAAATTGTAAATGTGTTTTTAATTATTTATTTGATGATATAAAAACAGGGTGAAACATCATGATTGACAGCTGAGACTGACTCGCTATTAGTTGGGCGCGTGCATCGGCAGGACCTTGATTCCCTGTGGCTCCATCCCACAATCATGACTGCACTTACTCTGGGTCCAAATAATGTCTTTGGTGAAAGATGGCAGCATTGGATATCTGATTTCTAGATAGTGGGAGGAAGTGGAGACACGTCGTCCATCTTTATATTCAGTCTACTGCCCAACATAACAGACTATCCCATCCATAGTCCCCTAACTAACATGGCTTTACAATCTGTACATAGTTATATATTTTAAACGGACAATTTATAAAAAGACAAAAAGGTTGGGCAGCCAGTTCTTTACCATGCACTGTGAAGGAGAACACTTCCTCACTCTGCACCCACACTGCCATACACCACACACAAAGATCCCTCACAGTCAGTGTGCAGCGTTCACCTTTGCAAAACGTTGTAACAGCTCAGAGCTCATGCTGGATTTTGCCATTAGAAAGCCTGAGAGATTATTTATATGGACCCCTTTTCATTGCTCCTGAAAATGAAATAAACTAATTATCAGCCACGTGAATTGATCATGTTTAACCATTAAGCTGCTAATCATTTAATGTGTCATTTATCAGGCATGCAACGTACACAGCATGAATAATTCATTGCTGATCACTGTTGGTCATTCAACTAATTCAAGTACTGTGATGAACGAGGTAGCTCATGAACAAACATGTCCTCAATTACAGCCAAGTAATACCAAGCTGATCTATCTCAGCTGAGCAATGTACAGTAGTTACATATTTCATGGGTTATATAAACACTGTTTCGGTGGGGGGGGGGGGGGGGTTAACAGCAGCTTGGATGCAAATTGGATGCATTATTGATGTGACATTTGTTTTGCCTTCAATTTTTAGATGCCTGATATCCTTAACACTAGCCAGACTGGAAATAGCTTCAACAGAGCCCAACACACTGTGGACGGATCAGGCTTTAGGAAGCACAGACATGTCACCATCGTGTAAGGACAGACAGTAAACCACAATGAACTTGCAAAGCAACCTGAAAGAGGTTGAAAAAAGGTGGATGAAGGCCTGGATCTGCCGAGAACAAAGACGGATGGACTAACATGGAGTGGATGGAGTCACACGTTGAGGCTGGTTGCACAGGAGACCTCCAACATTTATTTTATGTTCTGCTTGTTATCAGGTTCTATCGGCAGAATGTCAATCTATGGATGATACATTTATATTGCAAAACTACTGGGCATTATATCTGTGCTCAAGTTAGGTCGCAGAAGCAGCATCATGACAGATTAGCATGAAGAACAAATCAATGATGAACATCTCCAGCAGCCTCTGACGCTCCAGCATAAAATATTTAGTTTGCTCTCACATGATGGACTAACAGGACAAACTGCTGTTTATCTAGTCCATGCTAAACCATATCTTTGCATTAAGTTAAATTATTAAAAAGAGACCATGTTAGACTTCCTTTGTCCTCCTACATCTCTAAATGTCTTATAATGTAATACACTTACTTGCCTGTTCTGTGAGCAGCTTATTTTTCAAATGTATGATTTGTTATAAAAAAACATTTTCATTTATATTTTATTATCGAGCCATTTGTCTGCATACACTTGTATAAATATGTAATATGTAACATTAAACTTTAAAGGTTCAGTGTGTAGAGTTTTGTGATACTGAGTGTTGAAATTGCATGTTGCAGCTGAACACCCCTCACCTCACCCTCTCCTTCCGAACTTGAAAAAGAACCAGTGGTAGCTTCAGTTGTCATAAAAACTCAAAAGGTGTTTAGTTTGTCCAGTCTGGCTTCCGAAGAGAGGGTCCCCTCAATGTAAATATAAAGTATTTAAATATAAAGGGTCTTTTCTGGGGTAAAGAAAACTACAATTCATACAATTTAGATGAAACTAACTAGTGAAAACATCATGAGCATTATTCTACACTAAATTTCTGACAATAGTTCCCTTTCACCTAAATCTTACACACTGGACCTTTAATGTTTACTCCTGTTTTAGCAGATTCATGTCATTGGTATATCATGAATAGTATTTCCTTGTCATTACTTGTCATCATGCTGCATTGGACACAGTAGTGAAGCCTAAAAGAAAAACACTGACTATAGGGCCTAAAGATAAAGGTGCATTTATGTTCTCTCTAATGTTTTATTTTCCCATTCTCTGTGGAAGCAGGAATGGATTGATGGATGGTTGACATATTTTACAGTTAAGAGCATAAAACTGAGATTGATTATTTCAGGTTTCTATCCTGGTTGGGCCTCTGGTCCCCTTACATTTCATGTGGGACCATTTACGACCCCATTGAGATGAACTAGATATTGAATGTTTCCATCAAATCCAGTGAGATGAGTTGTTCACACATTGATTCCAAACTCAAACCTTATGTTTCAGACCTCCCTCTAATCTCTGTCCAAGTCTCTGGAGACGGAGGCTTTCTGAACTTTCTGAGACCAAGAAGAGGACACAAACACAAGTTTAACCTAGTGACACTACTGAGCCAGTTGGATGATCACACCCCCGCTGTCTTGAGAGCAAAAAGAAGATAGACTAACTTAATTTATAAAGAACAAGTTCAATGATTACATATTTAATGGAAGTTCAGACTCAGATGTTTAACTTTTCAGATTTTCCTCTAATCTATGATGTTTTTTTCTGAATTACTGAACTCTTTTAGTCTTTGAGACACTGAAATATTCACTTATCACAATAAAAGTGGTTACAACAGGAGGCCTTATGCAGTGGGTGACAGGGTCCCATGCAGATGTTACTTCACGTGAAGGGCTCACAAGCCAATAGGTTTGTGAATCACCGTTTTTAATAGATGGATATACATGCACTAGTTTGGTTTTCATGCTGCTGAGTCAGATAAATTCAGATGACCTTTTCCTGGCTCGTAAACAAACTAAGCTTAACATTCTGGCTAAGATGCACCAGCAGGGCACAAGCTCACCCGGGCTGAGCTTTAGGATCAGATACAAGCCAGTGATGGCATCACTCAGCATGGATCAATTAGCTGATAACATAATGTTTACTGTGCTGGGGCAGAGTTTGTCATTATCTTTCTTTGCTCATTAGTGCTTTAATTTAATTTAATTTGTGATTGAATGTGACTTTTTTCCCAAAGCACTGCACATCTGAGATGAGGTTCAGAGGGTCGGCCTCTTGGTTAAAAGTTTATTGAATGAATGCTTCAGGCTTGAGACTCATGTTTGACCAATCAGCAGATTCACAAGTTCTCTGGGTTCCTGGAAAAGTTCCTACAGTGGAAAACTCCTATCACTCTAACTGCTGTTGAGTTCCACACAGTTACTTGATAGGTGACACGTGCCAGTGTAAACTGGATTTGTATCAAATCAGTATCTCACTGTTTATTTTGTGCCAGTCCCACAAATGGGACAGTGGATACAAAACTCCAGTCTCTGGTGGGACAGTGATGAGCATTCATCACCCACCATTCACCCAACTATGACCACAGCTTAGACCACTGAGGGTAAAGCCCTGTAGCTACAGTGTATAACCTTAAAATAGCCCCAATGGACATTTGGCTTTTAAATTGCAGCCTCAGCTTTTCTGCTGCATCTGGAAGCAGCACTGATGAGAGTGCTGGTTACTGAATCAAACAGTAAAGCTGTGAGCTGATAAAAACAAAAACAGTGACCTGAAAAAATCCTGTGAAGCTTTGTAGAGTTGAGGAGAACAGCAGATTAGAGAGGTAATGTGACCCATTTCACTTACTTACCATTGTTGATATTATATCAGCTTAAAGAGTACAGCATGATCTATCTTGGCTTAGTACTACAGTAGACTCCAATAAGTACTATGAAACACACAAGCGTGATGAGAACTATCTAAAATGACAGAAACGATCTTTCATTTGACTTTTTTGTTTGGTCCATGATTTCATCGATTAACATGGAGGAGGCAGGTTTCTTTAATGATTTATTTTATACAAGATATATTCTCCATCTTGTCCTATGTTCTAAAATAAAATAACTTGTGTAAAATAAACTCTGCGTAGAGGAAAAACAGAAGAAAGATGTTGATTCTCTCATATTATAACCGAAGACAAAGCATTTATACATGATATCAGTGCATAGGTCACAGCATATAGGGCTTTGAAGCTAATTTAAGGAGAGTGAGACACAGTGAAGTGGAAGAGGAGAGGGTTTCTGAATATGAGGATAATGTAACTCCTTGCTTGTTGGCTGCTTGTGGTGCATCCTCTGAGTCAAGCTCATCTGCAGATTCACTTTGATGCAGTCGACAGCTGTGTCAGCCTGACATGCTGAGGATGTTTGTCCTGTGTCTTAATAACAGGCAGTGTAGGAACCCTTCAGGTCTGGGAATCACAACACTAAATCTGATTACCTGCTCTGTTTATGTATCCACGTGGGAAGTCCCATCAGTGTCAGTAACGTTGTCCTGCATTTAGCTTCTCTTATACTGGATAAACGGCATAAATATAGAAGATCCTCTCCGTGTTACATTTTATTTTCTCTAAATGACACCATACTGTTACATGTTACTTTAGTGTGCCTGTTTATGTAATGGCAGCAGTCTGTAGCATTGTAATCAGATCATGTTTGTGGCAGAGGAACAGTGCTCTCCTGGCTCTCATAAATACTGGACAGATAATTACTTAAGCAGCAAGCTGGCAGTGGCTGGATGAGTTAATGAATAGAACTAGTAAAATGAATAAATAGAGCTGTGGTAATTGCTATTGATAAGCCATATATAATGTGGCTTGTCTAGTCATGCAGGCTTTCAGGGCCCTTCCCTAAGCAGATTTACCATTGCATAAGGAATGTCTAGCAAATGAATTTCCCAAAGCAGACCTTGGTCATCAAATTGGCCCTGCAGGGAGCTGGGATGGCACACATGCCTCCTGCTGGCAAGACACAGGCTGGCAAAGCATAATGGAAAGTAAATTGCTGTAAGTTGAAAAGACAGGCTTCAATTGTTTAATACCGGCCAAAACTATCCTTTTTTGAGTGAATTCTTTCTATTCGTCCTCCCTTAATGCAGGTTACATTTGAAATCTATATTGTAAAAATGTTAAAGCTGTATTTCAGTGTCAATTTCAATTTTGAACTATTATAGATTTTATTTTATGTTCTTCTCTCATAAATGTCAGTGTGATGCACTGATTTGTAGAGAATGTCATTGTGCAACACATAAAGGTTGGTTAGAGTAAAGTTGCCATGGAGATGATTCAAGTGTCTTAAACTGCACAAGGATTTATCACAGGGAGCAAATTTGCAGTGGTCCCTTTACAATAGTCATGTGCCACTGCATAACATGCTGTACGAAATTATCCCTATTATTATTATTATCATCATTATCATTTTTATTAGTGTATATGTGTCAGCAGTAGTTATTTATTTTTAATTATTTTTAGATAGAATTTACAACATTATTCTGCAAATCTACGCTGACTTATCTCATTAGAGGCAAACGTAACTGATTTAGATGTTACCTCATGTGTTATGTTCCACTGATCAAGTCAATATTTTCCTCTTTTTTGAAAGCTTCAGAGAAGCAACACTAAAAATAGAAGGTCTTCAGGAAGCAGATACTATGCTATAAATGTAATATTATAAGAGTCAGACTGAAGCAGCGTTACTGTCGGACTGAGGGAGAGAGGATGCACTTGGCATGTATCTAGTAATGGATAACCCTCCAACTAATCTTGCAGAGGCAGAACACAGCAGTGCTCTCACTCTGTCAGATTGTCAATATGTCTTCAGGACACGGAGGCAGAGTAAGTTTAGAAAAGATTTGCAGGTTTGATCCCTGCTACAGCCAATATGTCCACCAAGTGCTGAGCAGTGGTTGAAATCTTACTCACTTCTATGCACACTCTGTAGATACCCGTGTATGGAAATACAATCCAATGTGGTAGACACATGATCTTTGTTTTTAATGCTAAAGGCTTTAAATGTCTTTTGCATAACTGTGTTCATGATGTCGCAAAAATAGAGATGAGCCCATTTCAAAACATATTGGGTTGTTTTAATTCTAGTGTAAATATACAGTGTCGATTGTATTTTAAATTGTCCACAGAAAAAAATATTGAATTCTGTTCATTTGTCCCAAAACAGCCACATGGTGGCAGTGTAAATGAGCAGTGAGCACAATATGGACACATTGACTGCAGTTGAGTTGGGGCAGCTGAACAGCAGAGATGAGATGAGGCCGATACAGAGCAGTGGTGATGACAGAGCCTCCTTCAAACACCATCTCCCAGAAGCCCCTGATATGTCAATGTTCGTTAGATAAGGTGAACCCATGAGGGAGTAGGGTCTGTGGTTGGTTGAGACGTTAGAATTAACAGCAGAGAGAGGACTGAACTAGAGAACAGCAGCGGCTATGAATAGTCAAATGACAAAAGTACTTTAGAAGAGAGTTTTGGTGAGTTGCAAGCTACATCATTGTTATGCGCTCACACTAATCGTTTTCTTGGTGTAGTGGATGGTGATTTGTCTTAGCTACATGGTTTCAGAGACTGATTAAAGAAATGCCTGATAACAGGTTGTATTGATTTAAGAGCTAGTGGAGCACATAGTTGCTGGACATGCATGACTTTGCTATTTGGTGATGCAGGTAAATACTGTTTGGTGGGTTTTTAAAGCTTGTAAATAAATGTGCTGCTGCTAAGCTGAAGACTCGAGTGAACATTTTCCCTCAGTTTTCCCTGTGGGTGATATCTTTGATATATTATCCACATATAGTCTTTTGAACCATTGTTCATATAAAAACGAGGATCATAGCTGCTTTAAATATCAAGGTAACACATTTCTAAGTGATAAACTGTGAGTCACAAAAAGTCATATTCTTCCATTATCCCTCTGCAACACAACAGTGCTGGAATTTAAGAATACAGTATAATCCTGTATGACAGCCAAACATTTTCAGTATACGTATATTGTATATTTATAGTATAATAAAAATGAGGAACTTATTAAAGGTATAGAAACATAACAAAAGGTCTGTTTATGATAATGTGTCCTGTCATTTCTGAAGCCTTTCCCTTCTTTGAAACAATGATCCAAAAGACTGAGCAGCTTTAAATAGAAAACATCAGCCGGTTTGAGTACTTTTCACAAGCACCGAGTTCAAAGACTTACAACCGGAATGAACCAAAATAATCTTGCGCTTACTTTTTTAGCAGCGACTGATGCTTTGAATCCATTCCCTACATTTCTTTCTCATAGCACCGTGCTGCAGCCTCCACTGCAAAGTGAGACATTGATTAACTTTACACTGGTGTAGGAGTCAAGAGCTTTTAAAAGAAAATCACTGCTCTTGTTAAACACGTGAATTGAATACTAATCAGATAATAATCGAGTGGCTTTGCAGCAAAAATATAAAGATATGAGAAATGGGAATAACTGTGATAATAATGAGGTAAGCTCCTCAGTACACTGTCACTGCGCAAGAGATAAGCTTTAGTTCAATTCGTTGGTGAGATGCTGTGTATAGGCAGTCCAGATAAATCAATGCTCAGACTGACTGGTGATCAATTAGTTCCAAAACAAGGATCCCAAGGGACCCCGGCTCCACGGGATCTCTGAGCAGAAGAGTGCTCTGATTAAAAAGTGACTGATTTATGCCAGTCAGCCTGATTAATGACACACACACACACACACACAAATAGAAAGATATGGGTGTCCGCAGCTAAATCAATACAAGCAATTTTCTTTTGCTGCTTTAGGATGCGGAACATGTGATCACAGGTGGAGTTTTCTTCATTTTGATGATTTGCATGACCAAATTATTGAGTCATACCTTTGAATTAATAACCACTACATAGTTAAACCCCTTCTGTTAGATAAATGATGTGTGCTCTCACCGTGAAGTCATTATAGCAGCAATAACTGAAATTACAGATGGTTGTGTCTAGTCAGAGGAGCGTCCAGAGTTTCTGCAACAGTCACAGTGTGGAGATGCACACGAATTACTGATTGTACTGAACATCTTTCCAGTTTTGACAGATGTCTGCAATGGAATAAATACAGTAAAACAGTGTAAATCGAGAGGTTAATCCCAAACAGGCCATTCTGTTATAGTTTCTTTTTATTGTGCTTAGTTAAAATGATATACTTTAGGTTTTAGGTGTTCAGCACAACATTCTTTTCTTATCCCTCTGCTACAAAGCTGAAAGCATATAAAAGAGCCACACTGTTGCCCTAAGTGACAAATTCTTCCATTACAATCCATATGGTTTGTGTTGTTTCCTCTGCCAAGGAGGTTATGTTTCCACCCGTGAGTTGGTTTAATTAATGGTTTGTCAGCAGAATTACGCAAAACTCCTGAGCAGATTTTTATGAAACTTGGTGGAAGATTGGGACATAAACCAAGAAACAAGGCATTACATTTTGGCTCAGATCCAGACAAACCAGTGGATGCAGGATTTTTTCCCCCACTTTCTTTGACGTTGCAAGGACACAGGACTTTAAACATTTTCACCTTTTTCCAGATAATAATCTGACATATTTAAGGAACTAATATCTATGAGCGTCTGAAATGTGGTGCAGCTTGATTTACTTTAAGGGGGCTGATGGGCTTTGGGCACAGCTCAGCATTTTCTCAGAGCAGAGAGGTCTGGAGTGGATGCTGATAGTAAAAACAATGTCGCACCAGCTTTATGGTTTAATGTTAGAGTACAAAAACGTCTCTTCAAATGCATCCAAATGAGACCAGATTTAAAGTGTGAAATAAGTGCGTAAGTATTTATTCCCTTAATGGCAGGAGATGGGAGGGGCTGTGCATTACAACGGGTGGCATGAATACTGTAGCTTCTACAGAGACATCAGAGATCAGTGATTCAAACATGATCAATTCTCTTCGACTCAAATACTGCACAGTTGGTGTATGTACATGTACTTTGAATGCATAGTTTCTCAACTTTTCAGGGAAAAATACTGCACTTTTGTCTTAATGTTACTTCATGTAGCCTATTTGTCAGTTGTGGTTATTACTTTGAATCTTATGCAGGTGCATGTTTTCAGCTGCTCTGGTTAGTTAGACTGGAGAAGGAATCTAATTGGACTCTAAGTTGACTTTAGGTGTGAATGTGAGTGTGACTGACAGAGACACACGTCTGGAGGTTCAGTTCCATACGATCACCCACTGAACCACATGTTCAGTTACTTTCATTTGCAGTCATTAAAGATCACACAGCAGTTCAGGTTTAGAATATGTTCATTAGCACCTTCACAATGAACAGTTTATACATTAGTCGATATTCTTTTTGATAGCTGGTTTAAATTGCATTCATTTATTTGTCTTTGTTTTGAATTACCTGACTGGGGTTCTTCTTCCTGGTCCAGCAGAAGACCTGAGCTGTGGGCGGAGCTTGCAGAGGACAAAACCAAGAACTGATATTATGGGGGGTCTTGAGATTTAGTTACTAGTTTCTGTTGAGTATTTGTTGCCCTTATGACTAATAGAGCAGACTTATGTTTTGGAGACCTGCCCAGGTTGTGCCTCTTACCCAATGTCAGCTGGGATTAGCTCCAGCTACTTCCCTAACCCTTCAAAAAGGTAAGAGGTATAGATAATAGATAGAAGAATCCTAATGGAGCAACATGAGTGAAAATGCATGTGTGCAGAATATGCATGTGCAGAAGCTCTAGGGTTTTGCATGAAAAATATTTGATCACTATCAAAAAAATTGTTATAAATCAAATCATGTCAAAATCGAAATAAATCTGTCAAATATTTGGAATGTCCAGAATCCACAGGAACTGATTCACTCTAAATTCACTTTAGTCACCACCCTGCAGTCTATGGTCACCACGCACCAACAGAGAAATGAATCATTTTCACAAATCACCCTTGCCTCATAGGGCTTAACAAGGTGCGACTGCTCTGCCTTTAACCCTAAATTAAACACACATTTATTTGAAAGTACACATTAGTCAAAGGAGGATTTCTCTCCAAATGATGAAGCCAATGGCTGTGTTGATTCTCTCATAATCTATGTGCAGACTTAATTCACACTCATTATTTTCAGATGAATTTATCCAACAGGGGGTGTATTTGATGATTTTGCTCACAATTTCATCATCCCATTATATCTCACGCTGAGCAAACCAAACACGAGGCAGCTGAGTGGACAAAGGAGGAGGCTGGTGTTCAGAGCAGAGCTGGAGACGAGCAGAGCCTGAGCCTATTGGTTTTTACGGAGGCTGTGCGCGCTATAAAAGCTGCCTGCGCGTGTGCGAGCGCAGCAGCGTCTTGGAGAGGACTGCGCCTTCAGCCGGAGCGGAGCGCACCACACATCACTGGACCCACACGCAGACACACGCGGCGCAGCCATGAGTGAGGTAGGTGCCTGATGGGTGATTGAATAAAGAAAAGTTCACAGAACAGGAACAGAAGAAGACATGCGGCGACGCACAGGTATCATTTCAGTTGAATGCGCTCTTAAACGTTTGGGACTTTGTCCAAACACGCACAGAATTAAAGCTCGTTGGTGAAATCAACAGTGTTTGATCAGACGATTAGAATAAAGACTGGGCTGAGGGTGGGTGTTAAGATGTGGAGATTACATAGAAATCATTTTCAGGATACCAGTATTTCTACGTTTCCCATATCCACCGTGTTAGAACGTAGAATAAGTATTTTAATACACAGTTTATTTTCATCATTACTCTGTATATGGCTACTGGACCATAACATCAAACCTGCCAGTCAGTCAGTGATTCCGTCTGTGATGTGCTGACACATTAAGGACTGATATTTTTGAGGGAGGGTCTAAGAAATCATAAGTCACAAATCTCCCAAACTTCCAATGGCAAATGACAGTGAGTCCATGAGACTTGAATACATCTCTGCTGGTAAGTATGTTTTAATTCCAGCATGAATTACTGCGGGATGAAGCATAGTTGAGCCGTGCATCATTTCATGAGGCAGAGCCAACTTGTATGTGGACGATGAGTCAATACCAGAGTGGAGATTAGAAAAGACCCTGCAAGAATCTTCCCTTAAAGACGATCCACTGGCAAAGAGCACATAGCCACTGAATTATTCAAGGCTGGCTGCTAAGCCAGAAAAATAACACAAGGGAGCGCAGGCTCCAGTAGGACCTCATCATGAGTTTGTTCACCCCGTGGAAGGGAGCTTACTAATATACTGTATAATCCTGCTTTAATTTGTGTCCTGTTATACATGTCGTGCTGCCTGTGGTGGATGGTGTCCAGCTGCAGCGTGGGGTCCACTCCTGGAGCTTATGATATAGTTGCAGATGTTCAAGATCAAAATGAGAATGAATCGTTGGAGAATGAGATATTGTCCCCTGATCAGAGCTGCCTCAACATCTACACTGCCGTGAACACCCTCTGCCTCGTCGGTCATTATGAATCTTTTATCGTAGGCTTGCGGTGACTTTTTGTACGGTGTCACACGGCGCAGTCGTAGCTGACTTCTTCTCTACCCTCTACAGTGGAGCTGGAGTCTTATAAATTACACATTACACAGAGAAAAACCCAGGAAATTCACTTGCATCTCAATTCAGCGATGGATTCATGAACCTATAAAGAGCTAAGGCCAAGACAAGGTTGTTGCTCTGAATGAATAATTTATAAAAATAATTTAAAAAAAATCAACAACAGGCTCAATCTAATCCACTGCTCTCCGTTGACTCTATTCTGTTCAGATCCTCACAGAGTTTTAATGGTGCCCTGCTGCTCATCACGATTATTGGCACTCCATTTAAATTTTTCTACACTAAAGAGAGAAAACCTGCTTGATTATACTTCATTTCCTGCCGTCAAACCCCATAGTAGGGTCTTCATCATATGGAAATACAGTCTTAATTCTTTAGGGACACTTGAATATTGATAATATCATAGCAGGTGAAGTAGAGGTAACTGCACCAACAGCTGTCACTTAATCCAAACTGCTTGACAGCCAGATAGCCCTGCTATGATTTAGTTACATACTTAAAAAGAGCTCCCACAAATGAGCCAACACTGTAGCTGCATGGATTGGGAGCAGTTTGAAAATCGATATAATTAATTTTCCTGCGCTTTGATTAATGTGAAGAAATTAAGGCAGAACTAGTAAGACATGCCACTGAGTCATCTCTAGTAGGATCCATAAACGTCAAGCAGTTTGAGGCTCCTGCTGTGAAAGTAGCTTAAATGGGTTGCCTGTCTCCATAGTAATGAACAATGCAGCGTTTCCAGGCTGCACTACCCGGCAAATCAGACACTGAGAAAATACAGTACCAATACTATTCACTACTTATCCTACATGTTTTGAATCATATTAAATGATTTGTCTAATCTGCTTATTCCTATTTATTCTAATTTAAGACGCTACATCTGTACAACATTATAGATCAGTGACGCCTTCTTGTGCTATTCCTAATCAATCCAGTAGTCATGGATGTATTGAAGTCTGTTTCAGTCATTGAGTTCTTTAGATTCTTTTTCAACTTTCATATGTTAAAAAAAGCATATTTTTCTACACAGCTGGTGTAAAGAGTTGTGTGTCACCCCCTGTCAGTAGTGGCTGCTGTAATGTTAATGTTGTTTGTCTCACATGATGATCTGGAGACTTATTCCTCCTCGATTTGGGCCTCAGGTTGTTCAACAAAACTTTAATTAGTTGGCAGTCAGTAGAGAGGCTGCAGCCAACTGTGTGCAGCTGCCAAGATATGTCAGTTCCACCGCAGTGATTTTCAATAAAAGATTTTTTTTTTCGTACCCAATTACCAGTTGGGTTCTCACCAGGAGATGCATCTATAGCACCCTGGTGGATCGGAGGGGTAAAGGTACTCATCACGGGACTGTTGTTTGTCATGCATCATCTCTTTACTGTCTGTGTTCTAGTAAAACTGTCCAATGGATCAGTATGTGAAGGAATATGTTGCAAGGAGGCAAATGGAGGAAAGGGACTTTGTGAAGTTAAATAATGCTCATGGTCAAAACAAAGATCATATCTGCCTCAACGACCTCAGATCAAATTTGCATTTTATGAATTCAACTTAAAGTTTAAACTTTAATCAGCTTCTTAGCTCTGCTGGGCAGCGATGTCACTGTCGGTCAGTTGTGCTCAGATCACTTTGGTCACATGGAGTGTGAGCAGCAGCAGCAGTGCAGCCTCTGGGAGCCACTGGCAGGGCTTTTAGACTCACACTGTATTTAGACTGCATGTTTTATAAAGCCTATCTGCTGACTTATTCAAGGAATCAGTGGCTAGTTTACATGAACGCAGGGCTTCAATAGCAAGTGTTGAGTCAGGTTAAATGGATCTTGTTTGGAAAGGCTGAGTTTAGATAAACAGAGAAGGAGGTTATGATTTTGTTTGTTTTCTCTGTTTGTTTGCAGCAATATGGAAAAACAACTGGACAGATGACCATAAAACTTAATTCAATCTGTGTGTGACAGGTACAGACGAACTATGGATGCTAGCGTCAGCGTGCGGGAAAGCACACGGCAAATTGAGCAGCACACAGCTAATGCAGCAATGGAACAAAACACACAGTTCTCTTATGATATTTTGAAAATTGTAACAAAATGAAGGAGAAATTAGAATACGGCAGGCCCGCCACACTCAAGGTATAGATAGGACATTAGCCTTGGAGGAGGTATTGCTCTTAGAGTGACCTTCTAGTTCCTTGATTCAGTGATGTCGTTCCATTAGTTTAACTGAGGAGTATTGATGAAAGCTGCCAAATGCTGATGCACACAACTCTGTGGACACGAGCGGAAATATGAATTTCTTGTGAGATCGCTGTAATTCTGCAGGTTCACTTAAGCACACTGTGCTCAAAGTGCTGATTCTACATTAGGGTTTTCACTGGCCTTCAGGATGATGTTTTTTATGGTGAAACATTGATTGTTGGGGGGGGTGGGGGCACTGTATGAATAATTAAATGGCTATTCCTCACTCATCTGTTTAAAATCAGTGTAATTATTGAAAGACTGCCATAAGCAGTATTAAAGGAGATATCATAGACGACCTGTCCTTCAATCAATGCATCAACATGTAAGTGGTCTCTGGCTGCGTTCACCTACCTCGTATTTTAATTACTGTGAGAGTGGTGGCTACTTGGCAAAGCCATTTGTTTCATCATCCAAAGTGGACCAGAGCCCTTTTATCAAATTAATGAGATAAGAGTGTTAAAAGTTGCTGATCGACGTAAAAAGGAGCTTCGAGCTGAGATGGAGAAAAGTGGTTGGAGAAGGATTTTATTTAAAACTCCATTTTGCTGACTTCCCACTGATGAAGTGATTGAGACTGAACTAAAGTGGTGATTAGAAACAAAAAGCTTGCAACTTTGGAGGAAAACCTTCCAGGACCATTTGAAATGTGTTGATTTAATATGAATTATGATTTTTTTTCTCTTACCCATTGACCTCAAATGTAAACACATTTTAATCTGCGACTCTCTGTGATTTGTCATGAGGCATGTTGACTGACCTTAATCCAAGTTTAAACAATGAGCAGAGATTACACTGAAATAATCTGTAATCCATCTAAACTGACAACAGGCTTTGGTGGAGCCTTCATTCGACATAACCCGGCCTCCGGGGTAATCCTGGCTTTTGCGGAGGGAAAATGACAAACATCAGTGACAGACAGTGGGGATGTGAACGGTCGATGCAGGAAAAAATAGAGCAGATTACGATAAAACTGCCAAGAACCTCACCCCAAGGCTTGGGTACATCATTTCTGAGGAACTGCATATACGTTTAATCCCACAGACAGAAAGCTGTTGACGTTAAACACTTGAGACCACCACCTGTTTCCAGTCTGCAATGTTAATTTATCTTAAAAGCGATAGAAACACACAACATCATCCCTGTGTGCCTTGTTCACAATTCACCTTTGCTATTCTCTCTGGTTAACACTGAGGATTAAAACAATAAATCCCAAAATAGGATTTCTAGAATCGTCTGTATGAAATAAAATCTTCCAGTCACAGCCTCCAATGTCCCAGGATTCACCCCTCACCTGTCTCCACCTGCTGTGGTCGCCTGGAACTGACACAGTGCGACAGATAATTAGAGCAGAGATGCAACAGAGGCAACACATGAAGCCAAAGATGTGAATAAAAATACCTCCTCATCAATTATTCATTTATTTATTTAGCTTGAGACACAATGACGTTTTTGATTTTGTCTCTGAAATTGTTCACCACGCCACTCAGTCAGTCAGTGACAGCGCTGTCTTCAGTCTGTGATCAGAACACTGTCTGTGGTTGGTGTCTTTTTGTACCTGAAGAACAGGACGGTCCCTGAGCACAAATTCTGCAGACAGTTAACAAAGCAGTAAAAATGTTGCTTATTCCCCCTTTTAATTATCCCTTCACCGA